AAAATAAACTTAATTGTGCAAAAAGCAAACCACCTTCTGTGGATGAGAAGATTAAATGTCAAATTCAACTCCAAGTCAGATAGCTTGTTCTTCTGTTTGAATAAAATGCAGGTCATTTTCCTCTGCTATTGTCACAGTTCCTGCTCTGACTGAAGGAAAGCCAGTATTGCGAAGCAGGAAATAAGCAATAGCTTATTATTCCTATGGTGTCTTCAGCCTATTTCCAAAGCACACTAGAGAAGGAGGCTGATGAGGCTCCCTTCAAAGTTTGTTTTAATGCTTAAATAAAATGAGACTATCCTCAAAAATCATAAAGGCTCCAGAAAAGGCCAAGTACTACAGGAGAGAGGGACTATGAGCTGATCCATAGGATAGAAATGCTTCCCAGGGTTGCCAAGCTCTAACACAGAGGATATTATCTCTTATCGTTTCTGCCACACTTATCTCCAGTCATACTTTACCGGCGTTAAGTAAGATACCACATAACTGCTCCATACATGAGTAATATAAAGGTATTTAAGTGCAGCCTTTGGTATTTCATGGTTCAATTTCTACAAAAGTAGAAATATGGAAGACTATTGTATCATGAAAGTTAATTTTTGGAAAAGGTTCTGATGGGCTGCTTTGGAGTGTAATTGGAAATTATTTCAACTTATAAATAAAGCCAACATGGATTAACTGCCAACATCAACTACTATGAATTATCAACTACAATGTTCATATATGATGCTCATTTTAATATTCCCTCCATATTTAAATATTAATTTATCTTGCTTCAAAGCTATTTTTGTACATAGATTTCCCATTCCCTATTTTTTAAGTCAAAATTAAAACATTACAGCATATTTCTGTTCCACTTCTAACTCAAGTTCAGCTTTGATAACCATAGCACATCAGTTTTCACATATCTTTTTGTTTCTTTATGGAAACAATAAAAAACAACCCCTCACACTCCTTGGTAATCTTATTTAAAGCCCGGCAAGACACAGAAAGAACTTGCAAGATAGTAATATTTGCTTCTGAATTTCCAAGGGATCTTGTGTTACTGCAATAAAATTGCAAAGACATAATCCTCCTCATTATATGAAACTTTTATTTCAGATAGTCAACAAAACTGAGAAGTTATTCTAAATATATTCCTGCTTATAGGAGTGGAAGAAAAACCACAAAGCTTTCCCTCCTCTTTTTGAGTATGTCTTGGATATTATAGCCTTCCAATTAGATAAGAAAAATCCACAACCATCCATCAGAAACCTGCACAAACACATACACATGCTGAAATCACACAGCCTCAACCTAACCCATGAAGGTGGGATTGGCTGATTGTACAACACAATTATGCCTGTCCGGATCAAACACCTGGGTGTATTCTGTTCCTCTGTACAAGGACAACGGCAAAACAGACCACACCAGGATGAATCCAGCTAGGATGGAGACCTGATAGTGGACCCACTGCCAGGGTTTCCAGCTCCTCTGCTATTCCCCCAATAACACCTTAGGGGAATTACAGGTAAAAGACATCTATCTAGAGGATAGAATCATAGAATGGTTAGGGTTGGAAGGGCCCTTAAAGCCCATCTAGTTCCACCCCCCCTGCCATGGGCAGGGACACCTTCCACTAGACCAGGTTGCTCCAAGCCTCATCCAGCCTGGCCTTGAACACTTCCAGGGATGGGGCATCCACAGCTTCTCTGGGCAACCTGTTCCAGTGCCTCACCTCCCTCTCCGTGAAGAATTTCTTCCTGATGTCTAATCTAAACCTCCCTGTTTTCAATTTGTACCCATTCCCCCTTGTCCTGTCACTACAGGCCCTTGTAAAAAGTCCCCCCCAGCTTCCTTGTAGGCCCCATTCAGGTACTGGAAAGCTGCAATGAGGTCTCCTCGGAACCTCCTCTTCTCCAGGCTGAACTTCGAGAGAACTCACAGGTACTGCCACACGGCAGAACACCTTTTCATAGCATACTGAGTGACATTTTATTACATCAATGTGAGCAACAAAGGTTTTTGCATCTCGTGCATCTCTGACATTCAATATTCAGAGAAGCACTATGTGTCTCTGTGTGTGTGTGCATACAAACAAGCTAGTAAGCGCAGTTGTCACCTCATACTTGATGCTATCATTGATGGGACTGAAAATGTCCTAGAAGACATCTAACAAATTATTGTTACAATCATATGGTTTACTACCATTCCTTAAGTATTATTTTTTTTCTGTATGGAATAGTGACAGGACAGTCAAGCATTCCATTTCCTAAGCTTCAACCAATGCTGGAATGTTGCATGGCTGTGACCAGCTGTGGGAAGCTTGGCAGGTGCAGACCCACAAGGTGGAGCCTGCAGCACTCTCACATGCCAGATTAGCAGGGCACTCTCCATCTCAGCTGCCCAGTGCAATCAAAATCCACAGCAGCCTCAACTAAAGGAGGTGGAAACATCATTCTGCAAGTACAACCCATGATTCTCATTTAATTGCATGAACCTTCTAACATGTCAGTATCATCACATCTCCAAATTCAGAGCTGATTGTCAGGCTCATGTTTCCCTTAGACTGTCCTCAGGATGAAAAGTTGAATGAGGTGACTGAGAAAAAGGGCTTAATCATCAAAATCCTAACACAAGGAGCTTACAAAATGCCAGAACACACAAGTACTTCCTCTCTGCACCAGGGCTGAAACTCTGAAGCAAGGATAAAAGAAAGAAAAGTTGCAAAAAACTAGAATACAGTGTAGTACTGGTTTATGCAGAAGTCGGTGTTGGGTCACAGGGTTTGCTTTAATGACAGAAAATACATTTTTACTCAAAACCCACCACTATTACCCAATAAAAACCTGCTGTTTTAAATATTGGGTTAAAAGCCACTGTGTTTGGCAGTGGATTTTCAGAGTGATGCTTTGGCAGCAGGGCTGAACGCTCCCTAGCCCTTAAGTGGAGTTTCAGGGCTGAAAAGAAAATGGCCCTTCTGGGTGTGGAGACAGACTGCAGCTCCTCTTCTGCCAAAGCAGTGGTCAAGGGACCACGCTACAAATGTTTAGCACAGGGAGGAAGAAGATTATTTCAGATTTCTATATTAATTTGGTGAACAATTTACAGGGCAACATCCCAAGAAAGGTATAGGTGAACATGAGTGTGTGTGAGACTGGGAAGAGCACACAGACATGGAGTTTGTACCTCTGAAGTTGGATTTCCTTCCATAAGAAATATTTGTATGAGTATAACCTGCTTGTGTGGCATTTATTCCAGTCTATGTATATTACTGTGAAGAGCTATTAAGAATATAGTTATTCTGTATATAAACTAGTTTAAATGGGGTTTTTTGCAACATTTTGTACTACACATTTGATACCAAAAAAAGCAGAAGTACTCCAGTACCATTCACACAAGCATATTTATTATATAAATATTTTATAAATTACAGGATTTTAATTATAAATGTAAACATTTCTAGGAAAATAATGTTTTGTATTCTTAAAGTTTACAACTAATATAAGGCACATAGTGCAAAAATACATTTCTGATGCAGAGATCACAGAATAATTACCTACATGTGTTATCGAAAAAGTAGCTGCTTACACTTGTGTGGTACAGTCTTGTTTTCAATTAATATATATTGCTAACTCGTGGCTATGTGGGTAAAAATATGATATAGCTGCCATTAGATCGTCCAATGATACTGGCATGCAAAACATACTTGGTTTACAGAACACATTTTGTCAAAAAAGGTATGTATAGCTATCTGGTGTATAATGGATGTTGTGATGCACGTAGAAAATCTTATTCTGAATACCTGAGAGTTGGCCCTGAAATGCATTATCTTTATACATCTATTTCTACAGTTCTGGACTGTAAAGTAATATAAAACCACAAATCAAAGAGCTAGATCAGTTTTTAAACCTTCTAATTTTCATATACGTACTTTTCAGGAAAAAATAATTTTAACTAGCAGATGTTAGAACTGTATTTACAACCACTGAAAAATTAAACTGAGTGAAAGATGGACACCAAAACCACGGTAGGGCTCGATGCTGCCCCTCCCCAGGGTTTTCATGAAAATTACCAGAAATTAATGTTGTGTAGGAGTGACACACTACGGTCTTTACTAATATGCCATTGGCCCATATAAAGGAGTAAAGTATATATGGAAAGTGTTTAAGTAAATACATATTCATGCAATCACATAACAGAGGCTACGGTAAACAGAATACACTGCTTTTACAGTATACTTGGATGAGAGGCAAGGATTTAAAGCCAGATTTCCAAGCAATTTGTTTCCTTATTTTCTTTTCCTGTGACCACAACAAAACTGAACCTAGATGTTTAGGATGTGCTACACAGACCACAGAGGTTAAACCACACTTCTCAGGATTACTGCTAGTATTTGAGCACCACAGGAATATAATGACAGGGATGGGGAAAAAAATCATTTTACTGACAGAGAAGCACACAGATCTATCGAAACTACCACAAGTACGTTGGTTATATACTGCTCTGCTGTAAGTTATTGACAGATAATTCCTAAAAGGTTTCACAAAATTGGAAAGATTTTAAAGTATTACCTGTCTTCTCTATTTAGCAATAACTCTTCCTATATTTTAGGATAGCTGATCAGGAAAACCAGTAGATTACAAATTTTGCTGAATACTGCATAAAGAATTGCACTAATTAGTTGCTGGTAGAGTACTAAAATTATGGTGCAATTTAGGGTGTTGTCCATAGTATCCTCAGTGAAATTTACTTGCTAATATATACTGTACATTGAATGAATGCCTCTCCATTAAAACCTGAAGGTTTATGATTGTGATTTATGCACTTGCTAGCCCACAAACTGATAATACATTCAAGAATAAACACTGAAGAAACCAGGAATTCTTAGTAGTGAGCAATACAATAATGGGCCTTACAGAGATGAAAGAATAAAAATATATATATACACAGCACCTACAATTTGCACATAAATGGCAGATATCCCTGCTTTGATGTTCTTACCACATCAGAGTTCTCACTGTATTTGAAGTTGGAGACCAATAATTGTGTTAGGAATACATTTTCCACAAAATCCTCCACATCTTCCATATATTTTAGTACCATCCTGGGAATTAGACAGAGAACAGTCAATCAAGAGAAGCGACTGAAATCACAGTTGTACAAAAGTCTCCTTGAGGGGTACATACAACAGACCTTTTGACGAATCGTACCTACAGATACTAAAGCAAGGGACAGGATCAAATTAGCAAAACAGGCACAGATATTACTGTTATTGCTGTATACTTTCTTTCCCAGTTCACCATCCAATGTTTTCTTAAACTGTACATACACACCGTTCTCATTCAACCGGTCTTCTGGTTTCCCACATGAATAAATTTGGAGGCAAGCAATCTGTAGTAGGGTCTCTCTAATAAAATGGGGGGGTTTATGGTGATTTTTTGTTGTTTTTAAAATTCCAAGCCTTAAGAGCGGGTAAAGGAAAACAACATCAACTTACGTGGGATTTGTGTATGTCAGCAGTTGCATAGTTGCCCTGAGCAATCCATCTAACTGTACTGGATAATTTCAGACCTGTACCAGCCAAATTAATGCTGAACTGTCCCTAAAGAATTAAAGAAAATGAAAAAAAAAAAAAGGGCAAAAGATAAAATACAGAGCTGATACACAGAGCTCAAAACACTAAAACAGTTTACATTGGTATGTCTGCACATATTACTTACGGTATATCTAGACAGTAAGTACTCAAGGATGTGTACTTAGCCTGGGTGAGTTACAATGCATTATACCCCTTTTTTGGACACTCAGGACATTGTCACATGAACAAGTTATTCTGTTGTAAGTAGCACTCGTGCATCAGCTGACCTGTAGCATCTGTCTGCAAATTCTGTCTGACGTTAGTTCTGTATCAACGCAAATTTTAGTTTCCCTTCTATGTATTCAGTTTTAATTTACAAAAAAAGTATGAAGATGCAACATGCAAGATTGCATCTGGCTTTCTTGAAAGGTGGGGTTTTGGGTTTTACAGTGCCTGAACATTCTGGAGATAACATGTAAGGACCTACTGCTATCTGGAAGTTACAGACAAGTCAATTCTTAGCCATCTAATTCTCAAATCTTTGCACCCACTCTGCCCAAGCATCACCATCTTATCTTCCATTTCTTTCTCAGTACCCCTAACATAAATGAACATGAATGTAAGTGGAGGTTAAAATAAAATGAAATGTTTTGCAATATAAACCATTCAAAACAGTATATTGATTCTAAAATATTTGCTTATGCAAATATACACTCTGAAAGCTAGTTTCAAAACAGTCTGTTCATATGAGAATAAGAAGTATATTAAAAGCAGCAAAATGCACTGCCTCGGTAGACAAACTGGAGTACACAAAATAATCAAGCTGCATCACACAGAGGCACGATACGTTGGAAAGTAGGACTACCTCAACAAAGAACCCAACTGGCAGTTTAGGCAGCACTATGATCTGAAAACTCCTGTACACCCCACACAATTCACTGAAGGCTTGAATTTCTGTATTCGGACCTAGTAAAAATCCTAAATCCTGAGATCAAAGCTTTAACATAAATAACATTTCCATTAGTTTCTGTATTTTATTGTTTAGTACCATCATAGTGAGATATGAGATATAAATGTTTGTGTGGGCATATGGGGGGGTGTGTGCATAAAATTACAGCATACAGCCTTTATTCTTGTGAATCACTGAAATTCCTTCATAAAAAAATTTGTTCTCATGTTGTTCTGTATGGCAGATTTGTTTTGAGATCACATCTATGGGAAGTTGCTGTGGTTATAGCACTCGTACTCAGGATGAGCTAACATAAGCTCATATGGATGGGGTAAGTGGTTCTTTAAGTGCCAAAAGAGTGGAAGCTTTCAATTTAATGACTCAAGCATCTGGATGAAATTCATACAAATGGCATGGAATGACTACCACAATTGCAGGCTCAAACTGACTTCATTCACAGTGATTTTGTAAAAGTAAATTAAGAGTGCTATGTACAGTTATAAAGCTGTCTGTAGAGTTGGGTCAGAGAGCCCAATGTCTGTATACAGTACACAGACAGGGGTTTTACTTGGGACTAACTCTTGCCTAGTCCCACAGACTGAATCCTCATTAGCAGTTACAGTGCATTAAGATCCTTCTTCTGGAGCTTATTGTTTGGTTTAGTTTCATCCATAAGGCATCCCGTTCATGTCTTTCAAGACTGCTCTGTGATGTCAAAGAGCAAAAAGTAAACACTCCCAATACAGAGATTCACTCAAAAAGCACCACCCAGTCCAAACTAAAGCACACTCATGGATGTATAAATTTTAAGTTATACTACTAAACAGAATTGATTTCCTCTGGTAGTCTTTAATGATATCAATCATCAGTAGAGGTGTAATCTGCAGGATTATGAAAGAGGAAAGTCACTGGAGGAGAACAAAGATTGAGAAGGGATTAGGGGAAACAAAGAACACATCACAACATATGTAGAAAGCATGGAGCCTAGAGGGAAAGTGTGGATTAAACAATTTGAGTGAGAAACGGAGCAGGGTAAAGATGGTGGAAAATGAGAGAAAAGACTAAGAAAAAATACTTATTAATACAGTACCCAGACCAGATGGAATAGGAGATTGGTTCAGAACCTTACTGCTCTAAACCAGTCACATATTTTTGTGTTTTCCCCTCTTACGTGCACATTTCAAGGGGATAAGAAATCATAAATACCTGTGGACATCTGGCAGCACTGTAGCAATCTCCAGCTGTAGCAAACGGAACTGCTCTCCCAAGTAAAGTCTGAGCAAAAAGAAAATCTGTGGCTAGAAAACAAAAAAATTACTCAGCACTGAAACTGCTGCATTAGAAGTTCAAATGAAAATAGTGTGAAAAGATATTAAGATGTTCTGCGCCTTTTTTTCCTCCCTTTTTTTTTTCCCCTAACAAACTATGCTTTACATAGATTTTGGTTAATGCAACATCAGTCCAGCCTACAAGCTCAGTTTCCTTCCTGAGATAGGAAGGGTTTAGGAGGAAGAGGGATGTGCACTCGGATGCAGCTCCAATGAAATGCTTGAGGGCCAAATTGACACATTCAGGCAGGGGCTTGAAAGTGCTGCAAGATTCCTTGTCCATTTAGTATGTCTGCCAAGGTCAGAGAAGGGACTGACTACAGCATAGGAAGAAAACTATGCCAGGGACTAGAAGAAAATGGAAAAATGGGAACAAAACCTTAGAAACTGAAGCTAGTTCACATATAGAATATGAATTTGCAACCACTTGGGGCAAACTAACAAGGGAAGCAGCGGTAGTTTCTCCCTTCTTTTAAATTTGAATTTCCCACTGAGCTCCTAAAAGAAATAAGAACTTTGTTTGTCCAAAACTGGCACAATTTGATCTATAAGTAGGTCAAATGATAATTTGGTAATCACCACCAGTGCAATTTCAAGGACTAAACTAACAAAATGCTTACTTTTAATTTGCATGGAGGCTACTTCAAACCTTATTTTGCTAAAAACCGTATAGCCAGCTGCAAGGTAATCATTTCGACAGGCACAGTCTTGCCTTCTGCTTCCATTGAAAGGGCATTCATATGGGTTCTGCAACCTAGAGAACAGCAAAGATGTAGTATTCCTCTTGTTATTTTTCCAAAACATAAAATTATAGTGAAAAATAATTGCACTGCACCATGCTGCATAAAAAATATTAAACAGTTACTGAACAAGAAGCTCAGCTATTAATCTTGGCTCAACTGAAACACTAATTTCTACACCATTTCTACAAAAGCTGAGATAGAAAGTTTTCATAATCATTTCATGCAATTGACACAATTTCAGAGTGAAAGTATCCACATTTCTGCATGTGTGTTCACATGGCTGTATACTCAGAACAGAAAAATCAAGCAACAAAGATTCTACTGATTTGTTCTCATAAAAGGTAAGTATTTTATTCTTTTATTTTGGAAGAAATAAATGCACTTCAGAAAAATGACAAAACCAGTTTTGTACCTGAATCCGTATACTTCAGAAAAGTTGTCTGCTTCACCTTTTACCAATGTCAAATATTCTTTGGGACTCTCTAAGTGCATGCCCGAACAATAAATCTGTAGGAAAAAATAAAACCCTTCAGCAAAATCTTTATTAGAAAAGTATTATTATATAAAAATATGTGCTCATAAAAGCTCAGATATTAAAAGTACCTTTATTATCTTTCCCTTAATGTTTAGTAGGTATTCACCATCCTTTTTAATCCCCTTTTTAATCTGGATATCTTTGCAGGTGGTCAGAATTTCACCTTCAAAACGAACAATTAAATCATGTTAATATATGTAATGAATAGGGCATAGTTTTAGGGCTTACTTTTGGAGGACAACAATGCAAAAGTATTTATAACTCTTATATAAATAACCTGGGAAAACATTAACTTTAGCTGGAAGTTACACCTGGTACTTACATTCTTCCTCATGGCAGACCTTTCTGGCATCTGGTTTTAAACGTGGCAGGCACAAGTCACTGGATAAGCCGTTTTCAGTCATACATTCTACAGCTCTCTCCTTTACCCCCACTCCACACGACACTGAGCACTAGACATGAATAGTCATCAACAGTTAGCTTAGAAGGTAGCATATAATTCACAAAATTATGGCAGCAAATTAGTCTTGGCATTCATTTGTGTTTGAGGCAGCAATCAATAAAGTCAGCTTGCACATCTATATTCACCTTGGTCCACTTCCCCACTCTCCAGGTAGCTGGCTGTGAACATCCTTTGATATTGCATTTATAAACGTACGGGGATGGCTCTACTGGGCATTCTCGGTACGACACAGGTCGAAGGCCATGGGCATGCTGATTTTGAACAGAATAGATTCCAACGCAGTATGTGATCCTCTCCAGGTAACCAAACTCACAACTGGCTGAGCACTGAAATAAAAACACCAATAAATCATGACTGCCTGGAAGGTCCAGTGTTCAGAAAGTTTAGGCATCCATGTTCAGATGAATATTCACATTTTTTGCTCTGCAGATGTAATGCATGTGTTACAGCAATACAACAATTTACATGTAAAGTTATATAAACATGTGCAAGCAATATAATTAGTTTACCTGTGACAGTTCTCCTGTAAGCACAACATATTTAGAGGGAGCTATCCTGCAGCTTTTGGTTGATAGAGGTTTTGTGGCAGGATCACAGAAACTTTCATCCACTTGCATCTGGTTTCTGTCCACACACTTAACCTTTCGATATATTTCCTTTCCTCTTCTATATGGTGCCGAACACTGAGAGTGAGAAAAATGATCACAGGTTTTCTACTTAAACTAAGCATTTACAGGACAAAGTTGCTACAACCACCAGTATGACCCAGACAGCAATAACTTTCACATCTGTTATCAGTGTTGGACTGAATTACTCACTGAATCAACATCCTTTACTTAGTTTTCAAAGTTCAGGCACCTCCAATCAGCTGAAAAACACAGTAGTGTATAATGACATGACACTAACTGGGGGGTGAGATGGAGGAGGAAATTCAAATGTCAGGCCAAGATGATAGGTTGAGTGAAAAAGCTCTTCTGGATGAAAAGGGAAGAGCCAAAAAAAGGGTTTCAGTGAAATATGAAAGGAATAATTTAGGCTTGAAAACAAATCAAAAAGAATCCCTGGAGTCATGTACATGATACTACACTGACAAAAGAAAAGAAAAAACAAAACTGTCTACTAATGAAGCCAGTGTCAGCTTTGGGCAGCAGTATCTGTTGAGCCTGTGCCTTTGCCCTCAGTGACCCCAGACCTCTCCCTGTGGCAAGCTGGTGGGAATGCAGTGTTGCTGCAGTTCTGCCAGGACAGGATGAGAACCTTGCTGCCACCAGAATCCAGAAAAGTAGAGGTACAGGCTAAGCAATATATTTCAACTAGCCTGCTTGAATTTGCTGTGATAATGAAGGAAGGCTCAAATACACAAACCGCAGTCTCAGCAGAGGCAATAATCAATAACACCACCTACTACCGTCAGACCTGAACCTAACTTAATACTAATTTGGGCCCAACAACAGCCAGAAGACCTATCAAGGTCTCATACACAGATCAAGCCTATTGTTCAGATTTTATTATTATTGACTTAAAGAGGCAAACTGAAGTACAAAAACCAGAAGCTGTACAGGAGTGCTCTGCCAGGGGAAAATTCTAACTTGATAAAGCCAGGTCTTGAAAGTCTCATCACAAATTCCCTGTGCAGCCCATTCAAATGCCTGAGTTGTCTTCATGGAGAAAAAGATTTTCACAACAGCCTGTTTGAACATCCCTGGCTTCACCTTACTTCCATTGCCTCTCTCCTTCGCTTCACTTCTTAAAAAGGGATTTTTAAAATTATACTTAATCATGAGGTTTTATTAAACATTTTATGCAATATATAAAGGATTTTATTTTATATTTTTATCAATAGGGATCTTCTCACAGCTTCACCAGAGCTTTTGTCTACAACAGTACACAAGCAAGTCCTATATAAGAGAGTAAATTAACGTCACTCTTCGGTTTTGCAAGCTTGACCTTTAGAATATCCAGCACGGTCACTTGTTCTTCTGCAATCTAACAGCTATTAAATTTGGTTGTAAAAACAACCCCACAACCCAAACCAAACCCCACTCATGACATCACTCAGTTCCTTCATATAAGTTGAAAGCTTTACTTACATCTTCCCATTCGTCTGCCAGCCACTGGTACTGCATGCAGGTGGGCAGCCGGCAATGCCTCTGGCTAGCGGGCCGGGTATCATGATGACACATTGCTTCACTGACTTGACCCAGGCCCTTCAGCTGACAGTAGATGTCCCTTTGCTGAATCCCCACTCCACAGGATACAGAACACTGAAATTGATAAAAATTAGGTAGGTCAGTGTGAAATGAGGCAGTCCCCAGCAGGTGGTACAGTTGCCATTATTAAAAAGTTAGTTCTTACGATATTATTTAAAATGTACCTCGCAGCCCCTACCATACTAGTGTTTCATTGTGTCTGAAGAAATCTAATTGTAGTTTCACATTTTCAACGTAGAATCAAAACTTGTAAGGAATACAGAAAATAAATGCATCTGAGCTACCCAAACTGATCTTTCTGCTTCTCTTAATTCATAGGAAGAAAAATCGCTATGAGCATATGCAAAGCAAAAGTTTACATTTCTGCAGGATCAAGCAGTTTAAGTTCTGAGTTTACATCATTCCTTTATTGGAGGCAAACCACCTTCTCTGTTGTTTTAAAATGCAAATATTAAAATGAGAAAAAAAAGATCTTAGTATTTCAGGTTAGAAAGATCCTGCAAATGGTGCAGTTCTTTAGGATATTTCTTCTTTTGCAGGTAGTACTGAGGATTTTGATTCCCAAAGATCTTAAAGGTTCAAATCCTTCCTGCCACATGCTTCTTTTCCTCCTTCATGGCCAAAGTTAAGGCTTGCTGAGATATACAGCCCCCTTTTAACCCAGCCAGAAGCACAATTAGGTCAAAAGAGCCTAACTGAAGACTCAACCCTAATCAAAAAGTAGATATTGCTCTATCAAGTGTGGCCCAGTTGTGGAGAGTGGTAATCTGTCTTTGTCAATGTGGGGAAATATATTTTGATAGAGTGAGTGAAATGCAAAATATTGCCATGTGCTCAGTTAACACACAATTTCCCAACAAGGTGAGAGATCTTTTAAAGGACCAAAGCAGGGAAAAAGCTGGCATTTATGAGCACAAGCCCTTTTTCTTGTCCTTCCCCCAAAAACCTCGCTTCACTTCAATATTTAGACTTGATAGCGATTACAGTGATACTAATGAATTCATCCATGAATGTAAGAGATAAACATTAAAAATTTACTGCTATTCTGAATTTAGAAAGTAAATGGAGGAAAGTCATAAGTACCTATCCAGTCCAAGGTTCAGTTTACTATATACTATATACTTCCAGTTTTAACTTTAATCTTGAAAGAAAAAGAAAATATAATTAACTATTTGCTGATTTGTAGATTTCCTTATGGTATGCATATTAAAAAACCCAACTTCCTAACAATTACTTCCATGGAAGCAGTCATGAATATGATCTTGTCTTGTAACTCTCATGGAGAACATAATTATAGCAGATTTTCATACCTCTTTCCATCTGCTGGCCTTCCAAGCAGGACATCTTCCAGCTCTACATATTTTGTACATCCGTGGTTTTTTCAAATGTCTGCAGTTTCCTTCTTCTATTTTAGTTTGGAAGCTATTAAAACAATGCACGTCACGAAACTTCAAACCTTTTCCACAGGAAACAGAGCACTGAAAAGAGAAGTGTACTTCTTAACTAAAAATCTCAAAGTAGTAGGAAAACCAGAAGAAGCTGTGGCCTTGCTCAAAATGGGCTCTGATTTCAGGAGTAAGTTTCTGTATAACGACACAACATCTACTATATGTATCGGCAACTTCTGCGTCAGCTCTCTTGTGCTGAGCGTTACTGATGAGATGCCAAACATCACTCACATCTTGTTCATTCGCTGATGTTGTCATTGCCAGATACCTGAGCTCAGCCCTCCATATCCAGGCAGGAGACACCTTGATATTACAATCTCACAAGAATATGCTCTAGCAGCCTTCTGCTTCCAGTACATATATTGCTAATTTCAGATAAGCATGATGCTTATTGTAAACATTAAAGAAAGAAAAATACACGTTTCCAGTTACTAGTCTACAAAGTTGTTTGCTATGGCATCCCTCTTCCACGACCTTGGGGTATCTTGCTCTATGTGACAAAGAGGCAAGAGAAGAGGTATAAAGTAGACACTGAGTTATGGTGCAGTGCTTGAAGGGATGGCCTTGCCCCACCACCCCGGTATTCATTTTCCTCCAGGAAGGTGCTACAATAGACACAACTGACTCTAGGACCTCCCTCCATCCAACGCAAAACCAGTGGTGCTGCAGACACATTTTGGGAAACCCACCCTGGCAGTATCCACTAGCCATGATTAGAGCACGTCTGGCAGATCAGTCTCTAAGGAGAAAAGACCTGCTAAATAGCTGTGAGACTTGAGTTAGGTCTGGATTTAATTCTTCAAGTGAGGGCTGTCCTATTCACCTGCAAAGCACAGCTGCAGGTCCCAGGGGAACTTTCAGTTGAACAAGGAACACTTGAAGCACTTCAAATTAGGTGGCTACTCAGCTAACTTATCTTGGACCATGAGCATAGTGAATTAAGCATTGAGTTTGTTGGAATTTTTTTGTTTGGTTTTAGGTTTTTATACATCTTATAATCAATCTTCCTCTTTTACATCATCCTATCAAAAGGTTTTGATCAATGGAGACAATTCCTTTTCTGTCTCGAAAGAGAACATGCATAATTGTTCTCGGATTTTTTCCACACTATTTTACTCTTAAACATTTCCTACACAATGAGGTAAATAATTAATATTCAAATAGAAATTTAATTTCTAAGTGGATGTGAGAAAGGATTTAAATATAGACTTTTTTCAAAAGCACCACAGATATTTCTCTTCCCTTTATGTTACATCATCATCTAGGTCACTTGCATTACATGGTAATTTAACCAAGCATTTTTAAATACATATATCTTATGTTTTCAGAAAGTGAAGTTCGTATCTTACAGCTTTCATTACAAAACCTTGGAAATATTTGCCTGAGAACACCACCTGGAGAAGAGTTTTTAAAAATACAGAACAAGCAACTATATTAAATTAACTTGCTAGGTAAGAAACATTTTTCACAATAACAATAACCGTACTTCATTAAACAGAATCTCAACTGACTCATCCTCAATACCACAGGGATTCCTGTGTGTCCTTAAACATTTATATGTGTAATCTGAAAGGTTTAAATGAAACTGACAATGTGTTAAAATTAAATCTTTGAAGAATAAAGCAAAAAATTCAACTGATCACACAATACAGCAAGTTTCTCTTCCGCAGCTGTTTAATATTTGTAAAAATATAAGGGTACTGATTTGGCCACAACTTCCCTTTTACAAGTCTGCTATACAATTCTGCTATACAAATAAGAATATTTCTAAATGAAGTAATTCTGCTCTCAGCAGAACTTTTCAATTTATCATTTTAAAATACTGTTCAAGTAGTTTTACAATTTATGTTTTATTAATTTAGAAACTACTTTAAGATAGGAGGATAACAAATATTTCCTGAAACTTTTATCTATGAGTAATGTAGGTCAGAAAACTTAAAACTCTGCAAACCATATCATTATAGAAGCCTTTCAGATAACTCAGCTATGAATTCAGAGGACTTACTTATCCAAGCGAGCAAGATAACATGTATGCATGAAAACTAAAATACCGATATTATCTGGATAATTGATTCTACTCTCCCTTAAAGCATTTGTTCAGGCATATCAATCATAAAAAGTAGACACAAATGACCCCTAAATTCTGAAGATTCCTTCTTTTTATTCTTCAGTAGTATGTAAGTGAGGTGCAGCATAGAGTTACTTAACTTCCTCCTGTGAGGCATTAGGAAAACACCACATGTCCCTCCTTCCTACACCATGTTCTCCTGCAAAGCACAAATTAGGCTCCAGAGGGCTATGGGACAGGGGCCTTCTCTTTCTTGTAGGAATGGCACTCCATACAGAGAACTGGTCCCAAAGAAGATGTGCTAAGACGTCTCCACTTCAGAAGGGGAGGCTACCACAGCATTGAATTATCTCACACTCTTTAATTTCTCATTGCCCTCATCATTAATTATAGAATTTTCACTATATATATGATTATACGGTTTGTGCAGATAGCTTTTCTTCAAGAATAATGAGATTTATTGTACAGGGCTAATGGCTGCTAAGAGAAATAGAATATGCAAAGAAATCTCTTATTCTGCATCTCAGTCTTCTGAAGATGTTCCAATAATCTCTACCCTCTACATATAACATTATATGTTTACTTCTACACAGGTTAGAACTGGGTCTGGGGGTAGGTTTCTTGTTGGTCTTTTCTGTCTGGGTTTTTTTCCCCTCTTCACTAGTCCAAACTCAGTTGAGTTACTTCTCTTTAATATTTAAATAGCCTAATTTAATCTTTACAATTTGTGTTATTCTTTCTTCTAAAGAAAGACACTGAAGATCTGTGTGTTAAATTAGTCTATTATATTTTTAGTAGTTACAGAGCAATGCCTATATAAAGAGATCTTTTGCAGTTCTCTTACATAAAGATGTTCTATTGAATTTTGTAATTAGAGTACAATTATAGAGGAATTAAGAGAATCCACATTTGTTTTCAATCATATTAAACATCAAGCTGAAGAGGGAGTTCAGAAAAGAAAATAACCAGTTTAGATGTTAATAACAGAGGCTTTATGAATAGTTATTTCACACACTACTGAAACTTTTGTTCACTCAAATACTGTTTAGCTTTGATGACTCAAGCTATTTGAAACCTATTGTTATCTAAATGTTAAATGCAGAAACACAAAGGAAAGATAATTTCTACCTACAGTTTTAAAGTATTTTCAATTATTTTAAAAATATCTTTATATTTAAAAAAATTAAGTAAAATGAATATAATGTAATTTTTCAGTAATGTAACTTCAGATTAGTCATCTAATTCTATTTTCTTTCTGTAAGAGACAATAAGTTATAGAATGTTGCCAACTTATGAAAAAAAATAACCACATTTAAATAACATTTTTCCAAGGATTTTTTTTCACTCCATATTAATTTAATGTTATCTTTAACAACCTAAAGAGATATGTTCAACAGACTGGGATCATGCTGGGAAATCTTAAATGCATTAAATTCTTACAAAGTGTAAGTTTTCCAGAAAGTGTTTCTGCATATAGATTTGTTATCTTGTTCTTTCACATATTCATCAATTACAAACCTGATCCTGTGTTTCTATGTATCAAAACCTCCTGTTGAATAGATCTTACACGGAAAAAGAAATTTCACTGTGCAAGAGGTAATTCACTAGCATCCTCATATTACAGGTTTCATTTTATAAGCTCTTAAAGTTGTTGGGCTTTTGTTGTTGTTGTTGTTTTGTGTTTGTTTGTTTTACTTAAGTCATGAATGAACAGTGAAGTTTAATTCTTTAGGTTAAAGTGTATGTGTTGTTTGAAAGAATGAAAGAATGAAAGAATGAAAGATCCTGACATCTTTAAAAGCTAAACCCTACCCCATAGACATTAAGCAGCTGTAAACCTGTGCTTAATTACGATTGCCCACACTTGAAAACAAGAAAATTGCCTAACTAAGGAGTACCTCCAAGCAGCTTTGCTTGAATTGGGTGCTTGAGGCACTGCATCTCCTGGAGTTGCATGGAACAGCTCCTGCCTGCTTCAGTGCAGTTTCACAGGGCCAGATTCTTCACCCTGTGGCAGTGAGCATCTCCCACCAACATCAGTGTGAGGAAGAGAAGCCTAAATATCTCTAAGGATCAGGCCCTTTACAATTTCAATGGGATCTTGGTAAAATTTAAGCAACTAATTCCAGTATTGTTATTTAAAGCCTTCAAAACATATCAGTTAATGGAAGCACCCAGGCTGCCCTGAACCACAGCCAAAGACCGAAAACATTCTCTTGGTGCTGAACAGTCTAATTCTACAAGCATGCACAATCCTTTTAACACTGACCAGCTCAGCACTTTACATGTCCATAAGGATGATCAGCATCCTAAAAAGATTTTCCTCTATTTTCACTATCAAAAAAGGAAAGCAATTGCTCTAAAAGTAGGCTGAATGCACAGCAGGTGAATGTGGCACAGTACAGAACGCAGTAACATGACATTTGGTGCAACCAAAGAAAAATATTCGTGATTTTCTTTTTTTTCCTTTAACACAAAAAATCTAATGCACCTACCCTGGATGTAGAGGATCCAGGATCACCAATGGAAAGTTCAAGAGGGTATATTACTCTGAGTACAGTATTCTCCTGAAACTGGGCATATTCTGGCTTCATTCTTTAGGTAATTCATCCTTTGAGCAACACGGTCTAGTGGAGAGTGTCCCTGCCCATGGCAAAGTGGGGTGGAACTAGATTTTTAAGGTCCCTTCCAACCCAAACCATTCTATGATAATATTAAAATAGTTCTTAAGGGACTGTTTCCTCCCAGAATGCCTTTGCATCTGACGCAGGCAACTTGGCTCTGTTATTTACTGTATAGTGACTCACCTTCAGCAGAAGTGAAGGCTGCTCCTGTTCAGTACAGCTTCTCATTGGAGACCCCTGACCAGTAGGTAAGGGCTGTCTATCCTCCAGCACAGGGAAAGAATACCAAAGAAAGGAAACCAGGTCTCTCAAATGCTCAGTCAAAAGCCTTAATCAAT